ATGGTCAAACTGTGGCAAATTATTGCATTTAAAAAAGTTTTACCGAAAAGTTAGAAAAAGATCCTCCTCGAGTTTAAGCAGTTTAGTTTATTTTTTCCGGGGGGGGGGGGGGGTCTGTCAAAGGCATAATAATAGCTACAAAAGGCATAGTAACGCCTTTTGAAAAGTCGTAATAACGCCTTTTCAATTTTTTTCTCTCCTTAGATTGATCCTAATAGGCTTTCGTAGTATATACCAACATGTCTGGTGAATTAGTAAAATTGAATTATTATGTACATCTTATACCTCAGCAAATTCCAGTGGGCACCCCCCCCCCTTTCTAGATCCACGCATGTTACGAAATTTGTATGAAGTTTGCCTACTTAGTTTTGACGCAATATTTAAAAAATAAGGTATCATGTTTAAACATCTATCGGGATATAAATACGGGTTGGTCACGAGATCAAATTCCATAAAGCCCGAAGGGCTTTATGGTAAATTTGATCTCGTACCAACCCGTATTTATATCCCGATAGATGTTTTAAAATGATACCTTATTACTTATATTTACATTTGTGACTTATTCATATTATTTATTAGCCTGATTATAACCTTTAACGCAGCACAGTTAACGCTGCAGTAAGGAGGCCGGGCCTAATTTGTACGAGAAATGCTTACTATGACATCACACAAAAATATAAGTTCTTCAAATTACCACAGAATGAAATGATTTGCTATTTTAAACTGGTGGATAGCTTTAAACTACATAAATACTAATTATTGCATGCATTTTTGTCGTTGGTTAAACCTCACACAGCAATATATAAACAATTCACTGATCGCAATGCACTTGTCAATGTGACGTCATATCGTAAAAGTTGACGCAGTTTGTATGCAGTGAGAGGCGGATCAAGTTATATTTCATACAATGAAAAATGTATTTTGTAATTAAATAAAATATTATTTGCAGATATATAAGAAGCCTTTAACTTGGATGCGATGTCTATTTTATGATTTTATTCTTATACTTCCCGTACATTCCCTAGTGAAGCGACTCTGTCGTATATTTGTATGCAGATTCATTGAAGGGTAACAGAAGGGTCGTAATAAATTGATAAATTGCAAGGGCATACCCTCAGTGAATTATGACAAGCTTTTACACATAAACTCAGGAAGTATGAAGATATTTGAAAAGTGCTGCGAACCTGTTGAAATCTTGCAAATAAATTAATTATATCTATATATATTTACATTTGTAAATGTTTTCTTTTATATAACACTATTAAAAGCAACGCGTATCTATATCCGTATAAACACTGGTTCCTCGCGTCACAAACGTTCGACGTAATTTCTCAGTGACGTCATAAAGGGTCGACGTACAATCTATGGATCAAATACGTGCCGTTGAGTTTGAAAAATAAAACATTTCACACGATAAAGATTATAATCAGGAAAAAATAAAATATGAATAAGTCATAAATGTAAATATAAGTAATAATGTATTTCTTAATTAAACTTAGATTTTTAACTTGGTTATGCCCTTTCAATATTGGAATTCATAGATGACCTCAATACTTCAGGTAAATTTGCTAAAATCACGTGACTGCCACATCAAGTGACAAGTCTAAATAAGAAATCTAATCATCCTCAACATGTAGTTTTCAACCACATTGCATTTGTCCGATAATAGTAAAGTCCTAAAAAGAATCACCCATCCTTGTAAAGAATGTATTTTCTATCTAAAAAAAATCGCCGATATTTCCATTTGGCACCTTAACTGTACTGCGAACGCGTGAAATGTTTTATTTTTTCAAACCAGAGACATATAATAGATCTATGATATGTCTCTGTTCAAACTCAACGGCACAAGTTTGATCTATTGATTGCGCGTCGACCCTTTATGACGTCACTGAGAAATTACGTCGAACGTTTATGACGCGAGGAAGCCGTGTTTATATGAAGGACACATGTTCACATGACTATGTTTAAGTACGTCATAGTCTCCGTTTATATAAGTGCAAAACGTGTAATTTAAAGCATCAGTTCTTGTACAATTTTTTGACAATTTTTTTAACTTTAATTACAATCTTATATAAAAAAAATAAAAAAAAGTTTTAACATTCTTGTAAACATTAACAAATTATGAAAAAGATTGATCCACTCCTCTGTTTCCCTAAACTGCGCGTCCAACAAGTCAGTGACGTCATACACGATCTGTTAGTACAGCAAGATCATACTCAGTGGACAGAGGGGCGGTATTATTATGTAAAAACAGGTCATAATCATTATATGATGAAATATTTTGAGAAACGGGGAACACAAAAATTATTTTTGCATAGCTGATGACGGAAATCTTATGTAGGTATATCTTATTTCGCTTATTTAGTTTACGTGTGACGTCATAGTTGGTTTTTCCCGTACTCGAGAAATGTAAACATGACAAGTTTTTGTGCTGCTTATGTCGTCTTTAATGATGTCCTGTGAAATATTGAGGTCAGCTTCATCATTCGAAATTTTTACAGTTAATCAATAATTTGAAGGACTTGCATTTCAATGTAAATTTAAAAATATTGAATGATAGGATTTTTTGTAAATTATGTTTTTTGTTGTTTAAGTTGGCTTAAAAAGTTCGTAATTTTCCCTATCCAGATGCAGTGTGATAGATGGAACTTGCCTTTTCGAAATTTAAACCCAATTCATACCCTGAAATATTTTAAAAGATACATGTCCACTTTGATATTTTTTATGTATGCTTAAAAAATCCCATTATGGACAGAGTAATGCGCCCGGAAACATGGAGAATTATAACTCCACTTAGATTCTGTAGGGCATAGTATTTGTCAGTCAATATCTCCAAAATAAGGTAAGAAACCTAATGATATAATTGCTTTAAGATATGTGGGACATACCTAATTAAAAATATACAAAATATGAAAAAAATTGAATGACAAGTATTTTTTCAGCTCAATGTCCTTCTCCTCCTTAATTAAGGAATGTTTTGTGAGAGTTATTGGTGTGTAGATCACATAGACTTGTCACGTAGGCATATTTCATGAAGCGCGCTAGCGCTTCATGAAAAATATGCCTACGTGCAAGTCTGTGATTTACACACCAATAATTCACACTAAACTTAAAAACATTCCTTATATTTACATTTTACAAGTTTAAAGCACCAATAATATACTCAATATTTGAATTTCTTGCTGCCCTATATCGTTACATTTTTATTCACGTCGCTGTAGCCTCATTGTGACGTCACTTTATGGCGAGTTTCACCGTGTATATTTCTACGCGTAAGTATATACAAAAATGACTTTCAAATCAATATCGTAGTTGGCTTAGTAGAAAAACACAACAAATGTAATGCGAGGAACCCGTGTTTATACGGATATAGATACGCGTTGTTTTTATTAGTGTTATTTAGTGAGGAAAACATTTGCAAATGTAAATATTACTGTATACGCATACTATATATATAGTACAGTAACTTATGCCTATTATGACGTCAGATGTTACATCATTGCAAAGTTGCACAGACCGTATTTTGTATTTTCAAAAAGATAACAAATTTTATCGTATATTTACATGGCTATTGGTATCTGGATATATATTTACATCAGAATTTATCCCTCCTTTGTGTTTGGGGAATTACCATACTTAGCATCTCGGAGGAATTTTCACCTTGCACCTTTCTGTAATATCCGCTAATAAGTTAATCAAAGCTTTCAACATGGACCCCTACGTATTTTTTTTTTTATTGTTTAATTGACTTTTGAGCTTTAATACTGTTCGTTATCTCCATATATTTCATTCTACATGTAGACTGAGAAATACATTGCAAAATATACATGTAAGCAACATGCTTTTGATTGCAGAAATTATACTTTATTTTTATTATGAGTTAGGCCATTCCAAGTTTTTTCTCTGTTTAGCGTCCACCCATCATTCAAAAACCTATCTACCTATTCGCAAAAAACACACAAGTCAATAAATTAAACACAGACTTTATAGTCAAAATAATGACGTTATTCAAAGAAGTTGAGTTCAATTATATATTTTTCTCATAGAAATATCTATTCTTTAGCAAAATCAAGGTATTAAATGCTTAAAATATATCTAATATGACATATCGAAGATAGATCACTAGAGAAAATGACAGAATTCAAAGATTTCGACCAGAATAATCACTTTCAGGACTCCTGATTCTGTTTGTTTTTTCTGATATTGGGTGTCAAAACCAAGGCGCACGCGGACGCTAAACATAGAAAAAACTTGGAATGGCCTTAGTATTTTATGGAATAGTAATAACAAGGTTCAGAGAATGTACCTCGAAGGACTCTTAAAAAACTTTATTTTTGAAAGGTGTTTACTGTTTAGGTGATTTTTCCCCCAATGTTTATAATGTAGAAGAAGTAAAATATGATAAAGATTTTCTTGCAATCACATATATGTATTTTATAGGTAAAGTATCATTTATAGAACTTTTAATTAAGTTTACTAAAGCTGGTAAGTCTACTTCTGTACGACACAATATTCAGGTCTACATTGTAATTTGGAACAAGATCCTGTTGATAAGAGGACATAATTATAATTCCTGATATGATTATTATTTCTATTGATAAGTCGTTTTTTAATTACTGTCGGTGTCACAAATTAATTACTCAGAGGTGTTAATCTTTCCTCCAGTTCAGTGTCACTTGGTGTTATTATAAATATGGCGTGTCCTCCTTTGGTAAGGGTTCATCATATATATAAGTATGATAATATTTCATAGTATTTAAAATCAGCCCATTTTTTACAGAATTCGATCTACCACTTTTGTCAGAAACTTTATACAAGTTAGTATAAAATATAAGAAATTGCTGTAGAAATCTGGCCTTACGGTCTCAGGACAATTTTTATTATTGTTAAAAGTATTGATTTTGGAAATAATTGATAACAAAAAATATATATAATTATTTTGTATTTGAAAATTTATAAATGATATTCATATAGATTTCCAAAATGCTTTAATTTTGTAGATGTCCTCGGTGAAAACGATGAAACAAATTGAAAGAGGAACGAGATTACTCCTGAGTAGTCTAAAATCAAACTGTTCTCTACATAATGGATGTCGAACAAAACTGTGTCAGTTTAAGCCAAACAACAGTAGATATTTCAGTTCATCTGCAGTTTTACAAAAAGTATATTCTTCCAATATTGGAGACATTCAGCTAGATCAGAAACCATTGGGGCAGTTCATGTTGGAGAAATTCGAAAAATTCGGCGATCGAGTAGCACTGGTAATTTTTTCTCAGACTTTCCAAATTCGGACAAATAATAATATCCCTTTACATAGGGATATTATGATATGATAGGTCACACCATGCAAATAGTATTGTTTATGAAAGGGGGGAGGGGGTTTGGGGTTCGGAAAAATAATTGACAACTTACATGAAAAATCTTTGACAACCAGAAAAAAAAATTGTACAATCCCGAAAATCCTATTTCGCGTGTGTGTGTTGATAGCATATCAGTACATATGACTAGTAACTAAAGAGGAACGATTTTTATTGACTACACTACAAAAAACTGAGGGATGGGGTCGAACCTACCTTTCAATGAACATTTCATAGCAAATCAACAGTAAAACATTATGTTAAGGTGGGATGGGGGCACCCCCCCCCCCCGATATTATGTGCGTGCACATTATCTACTAGGGTTAATTCAATTTAAATTTTACATCAACTATGAACATAAAATTAATAGTTTTTCTAAAGAAATTTATTCATCACACAACCCAGACAGTTTAATAATTACATTGATTTTATTGATAATATCTTTCCAAACACATCATGCTACATGTATATCATTTAACCATTTAAAATGTTTGTCAGGTGGATTTTCCAACGGACCGAAAATATACGTACAGTCAGCTAAGGGGGTGTATAGTGAAAGTCGCCAGCGCCTTGACAAGGTTGGGATATAAGAAAGGTGACGTCATATCCATCCACAGTGTTAATATTCCAGAATTCACTATCCTACTTCTGGCTGCTGCTTCAGCAGGGATAATTGTTACAACTTCAAACCCAGCATACACAGCAGGTAGGATACATTGATTTACGTAATGTTGATAAATTCGACATCTTGTTTAATAGAGTCAAACCTCGTTATCTCGAACTTAATGGGACCGAGAAAAAACTTTGAGATATCCGAGGACTCGAGATATCTAGGGTAAAATACTTATAGAATAAGGGATTTGGAACTTTCAAATCACTTCGACATATTCATGGCCTTTGAGATATCAGTGTTCGAGGTACCGAAGTTCAACTGTATATTGTATTTTTGTTTATTATTCAACATGTACATGTATACCACGAGTATACCTCCGTATTTAAACGGGTGCTTTTACCTAAAATTTAGATTAAAGTATCTATATAATATCGAGTTCTACAGTCATATTATCAAAATCATACAGGAATTATTACCGGTACATTTAATTTTGTAATACAACTTATTGAATGCTTATTTCTGTTGATTTCCAGGTGAGCTTTCCCGGCAGCTGGTACACGCCAATGCAAAGGCAGTATTTACTATTCCACAGCTTGTCCCAGTCGTCAAGGACGCTATTGAAGGTTCCGATTCCCTGCAATCACTTAAAAACGTACGTATCTGCCTTTATTAAATCACTGAAAACGTACGTATCTACATTCATTAAATAACTTAAAAACGTACGTTGTATGCATCTACATTCATGAAATCAATTAAAAACGTACGTATCTACATTCATGAAATCAATTAAAAACGTACGTATATCTACTTTCATTATTTAAAACGCCTAAGAAGGTATGTACACGTATGTATATCCATTAAATTACTAAAAACAACAACAACAACAAAAAGTTTCTGCATTCATCAAACACTTTGTGGCATAACTGACGTCATAATCAAATGTGCACAAAACAACCGCTCGAATCGTAGAAATTGTGTACCGAAATTGATGACAAAAGCAAACCCGCGACCTACCTTAAAAAGGTATGTCTGCACTTTCACTAAATTACTTAATGATATATATGTACCTGCATTCGATCATTAAAACACTTAAAAGCTATTTATTTATATTCATTGAACCACGTACATGTATGTAACTCCCGTCATTAAATGAAATAAAACATACCTATCTACAAACACACCCACAAATTACTTAAAAACATACGTGTCTGCATTCACCAATTCTTTTAAAAACGCACATTAAATAAAGTAAAAATTGTACATGATGACGTGATTACGTTTTTAAGTGACCAGATAAATAAAGATGTACATTTTTAATAAAAAGTACATGAGAAATGTACGTATAAATGCTAAACATTTAATATTTGATAACTTAAAAATGCACATAATCACTTAAAAACATAAATATCTAACTCTAAATTCATTTATTGCTTTAAGAGAAGTTTTTTTCACCTTTGTTATTCACATGATTATTAATCAATGTAAATAAATGTAATTGGTAGGTAAATAAAAAAAAAAAGAATTATGATACAAGAATTTTAACAGAATATATGAGCTATCAACCAGCACTGAAGCACAAGTGGTTTGTTAGAACATAAAAACTCTACTTAAATGCACACAGTGGTTAGAGTCTATGGTAGATTGGTTAGACACACTGACAGACAGACAGCCCATCTCATGGACACAAAGCATTACCTGATTCTTTGTAATATAGAAGTACTTTCATAATATACAAACAAGTTTCTGAGTTTTGTTGATTTATATTTTTTTCCTCTTGTTTTTGAGTTTCAATTTTATTTTGTGTTGTTATATAATCATTTACCATATGTGGATCCTCTACCAGGTTGTTTTATACTCAGGTGTGTCTTACTGTTTTAATGGAGTAAAAAAGAAACAATAACCTTTGAAAATGATATATATTTCAAGACAGATTGTAAATTTAGTGTGTAATAGTAAATAACCTTTTTGATTTTGCAGAGCATCACCGTGTTTGGGGAGAGTGAGGGATGTAGGCCATTTGCTTCTCTGATGCAAGATGATGGAAAAGCTTTCCTAGAAAATATTGCCATTGATCCCCTGGAGGATGTGTGTGTCCTCCCTTACTCTAGTGGGACCACAGGTCTTCCCAAAGGAGTCATGTTAACCCATAATAATATTGTTGCCAACTTGCAACAGTTCAGGTAAGCCTTAACAATATGAACAGTATTTAATTTATCTGTTCCATACTTTTGTTTTGTACATGATAGAAAGGGGGGGGGGAAGAGATGAAAAAATCATCCCTACTAATGTAGGCACTTATTTTACATTTATATACAATCTTAATCATAAAAAGTTCCAAAAGCACAGTTATTGTAAACACATCAAGATGTAATGCTAATCTAACTGATCATCATATATGGAAAAGAATTCCTCAAGAATCCATTCAATATATTGGTTTATGGCATAAGATGTATTACAAACAACATTTAATTGCAGTTTTTGTAATTGGCATATACATATTGTAGACAAATTCTGAATGTGAGCGAGAATGACACTGCCCTGGGTATTCTACCTTTCTTTCACATTTATGGAATGTGTCCAGTGATGATGGGGGTCCTGGTAGATGGAGGAAAATTAGTGACCTTGCCAAAGTTTGACCCAGAACAGTTTCTCAAGGCTTTAGAGGCACAGAAGGTAGACTTGCCTCTTTTGTGTTTTTTGATTCATTCTGAAAATCCTTTATCTGTAGAACTCTTTTTACTTTTCTTTTTAAAAAATAAATAATAGTTTATGGTGTGCTTGCCTACAATTGTGTAAATAAACATTGGAAAACACAGCAGACTTGATAAATTTATAGTCTTTTTTTCTATATCAAGGTAACACAGCTTCATATCGTACCTCCTATTGTGTTGTTCCTGGGAAAACACCCGATGGTTTCCAAGTTTGACCTTAGTAACCTGAATACTATGACATCAGGAGCAGCACCTTTGGGTGAAGGACTTACAAACGAGGTCATGAAAAGACTTAATGCTGTAATCAGACAAGGTATCTCTATGCTGTTTCTATTCAATCATTTAGTTTCTATACTGTGAATACATCTGCCATCATCTTTTAACAAACACTTTGCATCACTTGTTGCTTCATTGTTTATCCACATGTATTTACAGGGTATGGATTGACGGAGACCAGCCCTGTCACTCATCTTGATGTCATCCCTCCAAACCCAGGGACGATAGGCTGCGTCATCCCAAACACACAATGCAGGGTATCAATATCCCTCATCCTCTTCTTATGAAATCAAATGCAGTATCCACTATTCTTCATTAACTTTTATGTTGCTTTGAAAAAAATGGTGTTAAAATGTAAGCATACTGGAACCAGTGTAGTAAATACTGATATGGAATTTTTTTTCTTTTTTTTTTTAGGTAGTGAATCCAGAAACTGATGAGGATGTGGCAGAAGGAGAGGTGGGAGAAATTTGTGTGAGGGGACCTCAAGTAATGAAGGGGTACCTCAACAACCAGAAAGCCACAGATGACATGATCAAGGATGGCTGGCTACATACAGGTCTATTGTTATCTCATTATATTCCTTCAAAGCAAAACGTTTTGTTTTTGTAATGAATCACAAACTTTTCAATACTTTTTCATCTTTTGAACTCTCAGGAGATATAGGACATTATGTGAAGGAGAAAGGTGTGTTTGTGATAACAGATAGACTCAAGGAACTTATAAAATATAAAGGAAACCAGGTAAGGAGTAATATATGTGTCCTGTTCATGAGTTTGCATTAATATCATTCATCATTAGTTGTCTTTGTTTGACTTGAATTTCAGTAATAGTCGTACAATATTCTATGGTTACAAAGTCAGGAGTATCTTAAGTTTTGAAATTATTCACAACTTGAGCAGTAGTGTTTTAATTTACAAAAACAATAAATGGTAGTTGCACTTTTCTATGCACTTTATGTTTGAGTGCCATGGATAAAGGTCAAATAAAAAATTCTGGCATTTATTTTAGTCAAAATCAAAAAAGAGAGACAACTCCCTTAAAGAATCATCAGTGTTAAATTTAATCCCATAAATACTAAAAATGTTTGTATAATTAAAAAATATATATTAATACTTCAATATTTCTACACAGTAATTATTTTAGATAGTTATTATTTTTGACCTTGAAAAACAAGAGACCCATGGGCCACATCGCTCACCTGAGTAACTTTGGCCATGCTGTTCTTTACCAGATTTCCCCCCTTGTAATACCTATTGTGGCCCCACCCTACCCCCGGGGGTCATGATTTGAACAATTTAGAATCTACACTACCTCAGGATGCTTCCAAATAAGTTTCAGCTTTATTGATCCAGTGGTTCTTGAAAAGACGATTTTTAAAGATTTTTCTTATATAATTCAATGTAAAACTTGGATTCCCTATTGTGTCCCGCCCTACCCCCGGGGGTCATGATTTGAACAATGGATGCTTCCACTTAAGTTTCAGCTTTTCTGGCCCAGTGGTTCTTGAGAAGAAGATTTTAAAAGATTTTTCCTATATATTTCAATGTAAAACTTGGATTCCCTATTTTGGCTCTGCCCTACCCCGATTGGTCATGATTTGAAGAATTTACAATCTACACTACCCCAGGATGTTTCCATATAAGTTTCAGCTTTTCTGACCCAGTGGTTCTTGAGAAGAAGATTTGTAAAGATTTTTCTTATATATTTCAATGTAAAACTTGGATTCCCTATTGTGACCTCGCCCTACCCCCCGGGGTCATGATTTGAACAATTTAGATTCTACACTACCCCAGGATGTTTCCATATAAGTTTCAGCTTTTCTGGCCCAGTGGTTCTTGAGAAGAAGATTTTTAAAGATTTTTCTTATATATTTTTTCAATGTAAAACTTGGATTCCCTATTGTGGCCTCGCCCTATCCCCGGGGTCATGATTTTTACAATTTATAATTTACACTACCCCAGGATGCTTCCATATAAGTTTCAGCTTTTCTGGCCCAGTGGTTCTTGAGAAGAAGATTTTAAAAGATTTTTCTTATATATTTCAATTTAAAACTTGGATTCCCTATTGTGCCCCTGCCCTACCCCCAGGGGTCATGATTTTAACAATTTAGAATCTACACTATCCCAGGATGCTTCCACATAAGTTTCAGCTTTTCTGGCCTAGTGGTTCTTGAGAAGAAGATTTTTTAATGACCCCACCCTATTTTTGTCTTTTCTTGATTATCTCCCCTTTTAAAGGGACTTGGCCCTTTATTTTAACAATTTACACTCCCCTTCACCCAAGGATACTCTGTACCAAGTTTGGTTAAAATTGGCCCAGTGGTTCTTGAGAAGAAGTTGAAAATGAGAAAAGTTTACAGACGGACGGACAGACGGACGGACGACGGACAACGATTGATCAGAAAAGCTCACTTGAGCTTTCAGCTCAGGTGAGCTAAAAACTACAAAGTTGAATCCCCAATTTGACTTCAGAAAATATCACAAATGGCATATTAGACATATTGAATAATCAGGGACATGCAATTATCCTTTAAACAGATACTTAGTGTAAAGATTGGTATGTATATTGTTACAACAACTCTCTTATTTCTGGTGAAGTTGGACAATTTCCAGTGTTTATTTCTTATTTATAGGTGGCCCCAGCAGAACTTGAGGACCTGTTGTTACGACATCCGGCCGTACAAGATGTCGCTGTAATTGGACTTCCAGATGAAGATGGAGGAGAGGTTCCTATGGCTTATGTTGTCAAGAAACCAAACCAAGAGGTGTCAGCTCACGATATTGCTGCCTTTGTTGAAGGTTGGTGCTTTTTTAGCATTTAAAATTTAAGATTCTGTGGACTTGTCAAAAAACTATATTCTTTTAATATTCTTTTAATACTAGTAGCAAGAAATTACTGCCTCATTCTAAGTCTGTTAAGTTTTTTATCACTAGTTTTCTTTTCTCTGTAGGCAATGTTGCACCATACAAAAAACTGCGAGGAGGAGTGGAATTTATCAACGAAATCCCTAAGTCCCCAAGTGGAAAAATTCTAAGGAGGATTCTCAAAGAATCCCTCCCAAAACCATCTTGAGAGGATATTGTGGATTTTAGCATGAAGTTGTGAATCTTAGCATATTGTAAAGTGACATGGTCATTAAACGAGATGTCCCAGCTGTGATAAACATATTTTACTGCAGCATACCCTGGTTTTATATTAATTCATATTTTTTACTTCATTTTTTTTTTAAAGAAAAGATTGATACCAATCTGATTGCACATATAGTTTAGCAATTTTACTTATCATCCTAGAGGATAAATTATGGGAACAATGGTCTTTTTACTTGTTTTGCTAATAAAAAATATACATGTATATATTATGGCCAATATACTGCATTGTTCATCGATATTGTTTTTCTCTTCAATTCATTGAATGTGGACCAAAAGTGAAAGAAAACTTCAATTTTATGTTGGTGTCATAAACCCCTTTACCTACCCTTGCATGATAAATCATTATTGCTAGAGCCAAAAAAAAATTCTCCGATGTACATGTATTACACATTGGAATCTTTGACTAAATCCACCAAAGATGGCCAATTGTTGCATAAATTGAAAGATATAAAGAAAGAAACACAAGACTACAACAAATCTATTTAAAATCATGAATCACAGATAACAAATTGACATAGCAGCTATATATTGCACAAGTATGGCTTCATATGATCACGTTCTCTTTGTATCAAAGTAACAACCTTACAACAGTAGCACATAAAACCTGATAAGATCTGTTAAGTTACACAAAACAGAAGGGTTCTAATAATTCATTCAAAGGCCTTTTTTCATTCTTATTAATAATCAAATGGTCATTTATTGAATGGCAAGTCCATTGTTTAATGTCTATATAATCCCCAATGAATCCTTGATCCACTGATTACTGGAATGTGTCATTTAATGTCATTGTATGACTCACTTTCTTGACTTTTTGCTGGACTGTTGAGGAAAAATAGGAAAAATTAAGACATAATAAATCTGATAATTTCAAGTACAAAAATAATTCATATATCAAACATAAGGTCATCAGGTAGCAAACACAATAATATACAGGTAGAATTCACAGATTACAATTAGCAAATAAAGCCCAAATACAGTCAAACCTCATTATCTTGAACTCGCTGGGATCAAGGAAACACATTGAGATGTCAGCGAGTTGGAGAAATTGAGGTTAAAATACATAAAGAAAATGGGAGTTTCAACTCGCATCAACATACCCAAGGTATTCGGGATATCAACGTTCAAGATACCGAAGTTTAACTGCACATATTAAGAGATCTCCAGGTCTTAGAATAAAAGTAAAAAGCCTTTTTAAGCCCTTTGTCCTTAAACATGCTTAAGAATTAGGAATACACTGATCTCATAGGAGTAATAAGCACCAAATACATGAGTATGAATGTTTTTAAAAAATCCCAAGATTGCAATGCTTGGAAACCCCCCCCCCCCCCCCCCAGCAAATTATGAAAAAGAAATAAACAGCAAAAGATAGGAATTCTTTCCAAAGGATAGATAAATGCTGTGAAATATGCAATGATACATGTGTTATTGTATCTCCTACTTTTGAGTTATTGGCACTTGGGTCATAATAAAACTGATTTTATTCAAATAAGTAGAAATAAATAGAGCATGCACCTTAGAGGATGGTACCTTGGCAGTACTTAGTTGTGATCGGAGGTCATCAATTTCATCTTTTTGCTGGGTGAGTTTTTCATTCATTCCTGCCAGGTGTTCACTCATCATACTCAACTGACCATCGTAACTCTTAGTGGTTGTCTGTAGTTCGTCCTAAAATAGTTTGCCTAGCTGTGATATTTTATATACAGTAAAACACAGTTACAGCAAACATACTAAATTTGATAAAGTGATTTTTGTTCCCTGAATTTATAAAATGTATCATAAACTTATTGAATATAACAAAATTAATTTATGAAAAATTAAACTGTTCATTCACTGGCACTATGCTTCCACCATAATTAGCTGCAATTTCTTGCATCTTTACCAACAAGAAATTTCTTTAAATGACCCCATACTGCAGTTCTCAAAACAAATGCAATTTTTATGTCAATAACAAAAAAATGATGTCTTTTTCTTTCCTTCATTCATCTTTTATAACGTTTGTGGTATCTTACCTTCAGTTGAGCCAGATTCTGTGATGTTGACTTCAGTTCTTCTTCAGCTAGAGTTTTCACCTTGTTAGCTATCTGAAGCTGCTTGTGTAATGCCCTGACCTGAAATATAATCAGATAACTAGTGAGTGGATAAATGCTATTAGTTTTAGACTAAATTCTATCTCTAACTCCCCCCCCCCCCCCCCCTTTCACAACATCCCAAATCATCCTATCCATGGAAGAAGTACATTTAAAAAATTTTATACTGCTTCTATGCCCGTCCAATTAAAACTGTCTATTGATGTTATGAAATGTGGCACATTTTCTTTTTTTTAATTACAAACATCTATTAATATACACTTGATGATACTATTAAATTATCACGAACTTGCTGTCTGTTTAAGTATCCATACATGTACTTACCTCTGAATGGAATGACACACACATGCTGTCTATGCTGTACTAACCTCTGAATAAAATGACACACACACTTGCTGTCTATGCTGTATTACCTCTAAGTGGAATGACACACACTTGCTGTCTATGCTGTACCTACCTCTGAATGGAATGACACACACACATGCTGTCTATGCTGTATTACCTCTGAATGGAATGACACACACACATGCTGTCTATGCTGTATTACCTCTGAATGGAATGACACACACACTTGCTGTCTATGCTGTACCTACCTCTGAATGGAATGACACACACTTGCTGTCTAACTGCTGGTGCTGTAACATCATCTCATTGATTCGTTTGGTGAAGTGATTTTTTATCAGGATTTCTCTGGTTTCACTATCACTAGCCCCACCAGTCACTTGGTCCAGTTGTCCTAGCTTTTAAAACAGAAAATACAACTGCTGTAAGATTTTCTTAAATTGAGTCATGTAAATCAAAGTACTGCAGACAAACAATATTTTCAGATCAAAGTTCCTGGGGGCCAATTTATTCATATCTACAAAAGAAAATATAACTTAGAAACCCTTGTATATTAATTCGTGGAGAATGTATATTTGTGGATGAAGGGTATCCACAAATTCAATGAATACTGAGCCACCACAAAATCTAATGATTCCACAGTAATAAGATTTTGGAATAAGTTCTGTAGTTTTACAGCATAGGAAACATTAAACAAAAACTTGGAATATTTTTAAAAATAGACAAATAGCACATCCCAAAAACAATAAATGTTATATAAACTTACAAGAGCATTAGTGATGAGTAACTTTCCACTATTAGATGAGGCTGTCCTGTCTTTGGTGGTCACACTGATATTATCCTCTATGGAGTCCTTGGGGGCACTCTGTTTTAATGATACCTCCTTCTCCAATTTCTTCACTTTCTACAAAGAGAGAAAGAAAAAAAAATAAAATTCATTTTCACATTTGGCAAGCTATACTTATCAGGCACAAATGTAATTGTATTTTTAAGGAGAAAATATTCACTGCTAGACAAAAATATATAATTATTGTAGAGTTTGTTCATCTTCTTCCCACTCTAAGGCATTATCAATTACTCATCCTGACTCTAGATTAACAGTCAATAATATTCCTGTATCTCCATCTTTAACTAAATTCTAAATTGGCCTTTAACTGATTCACTTTTCTTTCATGTTGTGATTCACTTAGTTCTGGAATTTAAACAATACCTACTACTGTTTTCTTATACCTGAATCTCATTGTTATATCTTATACCTGAATCTGGTTGTATTTTTTATACCTGAATTTCATTGTCGTATTTTACACCTGAATCTGGTTGTATTTTTATACCTGAATTTCATTGTCGTCTTTTACACCTGAATCTGGTTGTATTTTTATACCTGAATTTCACTGTTGTATTTTACACCTGAATCTGGTTGTATTTTTATACCTGAATTTCATTGTCGTCTTTTACATCTAAATCTGGTTGTATTTTTATACCTGAATTTCATTGTCCTATTTCACATCTGAATCTGGTTGTATTTTTATACCTGAATTTCCTTGTCGTATCGTATTTTACACCTGAATCTGTTTGTATTTTTATACCTGAATTTCGTTGTTGTATTTTACACCTGAATCTGGTTGTATTTTTTATACCTGAATTTCATTGTCATATTTGATCTGCAGCAGTTGTAGCTCTAACATCCAGTGCTCCTTTTCCTGTTCTAGTTTTCCCACACGCTGCTGAGATGTGACCAACTGGAAAAAGAATTTGATCAAAAATTATCAACAATAGAAGTGAGAAGCATCAGACATTCAGTTCCATTAGCGCAAAAAATTAAAGCTTTAAGTAAAAGCTTATTGGTCTAAAATGTTATTGAAATTAAGACATATTCTATGAAATCCTGCAAGAAAAAAAGTTTTATTGAATTACTTTTCATACAAAGAACTAATGTAATTCACAATCATATATTGACTTATGATGAACCTGTTTGGATAACCCTTCCTTGCTTTCAGCAGAACTCAGTAATGTGTGTCTATTCTGAACGGCCACTTTGTGAGGTACAGAGTCTGGCACTGTCCCTGCCAGTGAGCTGAGATACCCAGCAGCCTTTTGTCGGTAGCAGACTATGGCCGGATTTGAACGTGGTCCCTCTGAGGCTAACTCTGTCCCTATACTACTCCCTCGTGTTCTATAGCCAGCTGATTGCCCAAAAAACTCCAGGTTTCCAGACAGAAAAGCTGAAAACTGACCAAAAACAGCATATACTGTACGTGTACAGAAATTGGCATATTTAAAATTTAGCACAATCACTGGGTATTGAGTTGTAGGTGTATTCATGAATTAGCTCTACACACAAATGTGCCATATATTGTATTTATAAATTATTTACTAGCGGTATCATGAATTAGTGCATCGTTGTCCGTGCCAAAGCTGCTAAAATATTAAGCCCGCTATTTTATGTACACATATAGTATCTACACTGATTATAAAAATGCAAAAGCAAAAATTAGGGTTCTTTTTTAAAGAATATAACATTAAACATTAATAATAAAAGGACATTAAAAAAATTAATTTAAAAAAAAAATTCTTCCTTTCTTAACTAGAATGAAAATTATATTTTGAATATATGGAATAGGAATGTCATGTCTATTTTATTGGAGTAAATACTTGTAGGTCACTAAGATGTGATACCTTTCCTGTACAAGTAACTAGTGAAATAAGTGAAGACACTACACATTCGTCAGTAGTTTTTAGTTTTTGTGTGGCTGTAGGAAGCTGGTGCTCCAGTGAAACCTTGGAATTATAGTGTTTGGAGACCTCTG